GGGTGTCCGCTCCTGGGCAGCGCTGGTGCCGGGAGAGGTGCCCCGCAGACAGCAAGGCGTTACGGGTGGAAGGATGCCCCAGCTGCAGCACTGCCTGCAACCTCCTGTGCTGGCGTGGGATGCCGCAATGCATCCCCTGCGTGGGCCCTCGAGCCACCTGGGGAGAAGGGATGGGAACCGCTGCCTGTGCGGGACTACAGCCCCGTGGTGCTGTGGCGTGTGGAGGGGTGGCTGGCCGTGCGGTCTGGAGGGCTGGAGCTTGCCGTTAGTAAATGCAGCTGTGTTGGGACTCGCTGGTACTAGCAGCTAGCTTTGGGAAGAGCCGTGAGGCAGCGGTTTAACCGCGGTCCCTCCAAGGGGCGACCGTCACCCTGCAGGGATGTCCTCTGGGACAGCCTGGGCTGTTTGAATCGCATTTCCCTGCCCTGACCAAAAGCATCCAGCATGTGCACATCATGCATCTCACTGCTGGGATCCCGTGGTGGAGAGGAGCTCGCTGCAGCAGCAGACAATGTCCCTCTCTGGCTGCGCTGGAGACCGCGGGGCAGCCCCACACGGTGCCGGAGCCTCGTCAGCACTTTCAGAGGTGGCTCCTGCAGTTGCATGGCCGGCGTCAGAGCACGCTTGGGAAGCTGCTAACAGCATATCCCGGGTGGTCATAGCTTGTGAATACATGGGAACGCCCCAGGGCCTGGGGACAGGCTGCTGCCACTGCAAGAGGAGCTGCCCCCACCTCTCCCCCACGGGGGCCCCCCCCCGTCGTGCCAGCCAGCCCTGCCACCAGCCCGCTGACCCAGCGGCAGCTCCCCGCTGGTTTATTTTTCAGCTGAGATGGGGAGCTGGAGCAGCGTGGGAGGAGACGCAGGGTAGGGAAGGGTAGCGGGCAGGAGGGAGGAGGAAGGGGATGGGATGGCACCCACCTGCGCTGGCAGCACTGCGATGTCCGTTTGGTTTATTGCACCCTCCCCTGCATGGCCGGGAAGCAGCACCAGGATGGAGCTGCTCAGTTGGTTTTCACCAAGGAGGGAACAGAGGATGGTTTATTTTTCTGCTAACTATGGGTCTTTGCTCTTTCTCTTTAAAGCTCAACTGTTTTCTTTACTTACTCGTGAACTTTTCAAGCCAGCCTGTGGCCCCTTGGGTCTGACTCTCAGGCGGGGAAGGCACAAGCCGGGTGGTACAGGAGGCAGGGAGATCATCTCAGCAGAAGGACAAGGGAATCAAAGCAGCCGGGGATGGGGCGAGTGTGGTGGTCAGATGGGCGCGTGGCTCCGTGCCAGGCTGGCTGGGGTCTCATCCAGCACTAACCTCCCCGGTTATGCCACCTGAGACCAGCAGCTGGAGCAGCGCTGGGAGGGGGCTTTCGGTGGGGGTGGCAGGAGCAGGACCTGTCTCCATGGGTTTCCTTCTTGCCGAGGAGGAAGCCGGAGGTTTGGTGGTGAACCAATTGGCTCAGCAAAGTCAACCCCAGTGTGCAGGGCATCATGGGCGGGCATTCCCTGAACTGGTCTGCGCATCGGGTTTTTGGGGATCCCAGAAAGCACGGGCATGAAGAGCTGGGGGGCGGCCATCGAGACCTCATGCAGAGCACAGATCACCCCTGTTGAGTCAGGCCTCATTGCAAATCACCTCTGGCTCATGCAGGAGGCACCTTTCCCTGCACTGACCCAAAAAAGTCTCCTCCCAAGTCCCAGCCAGCCCAAGGAGGTCTGCTGGAAATAGAATGAAGAGGTCACGCAGAAATAGAATGATCAGGAGGTGACCAGGCTGAGCTGGACCTTGGGGCCAAGCATCTTTCCAGGGCAGATTTTGGATCAAGCAGCAAAACCATGTGCTGTCAAAATCATACCTAATCCCCCTAACAAGAACCATCTCTCTGGAGACGGTGCCAAGCCGCGCTTCTGGGGCTGGTCACAGCCAGGGCAGGGTAAATATTTGGATAATAGCAATTCATGCGGGGAGAGCAAAACTGCTTATTCCTCTAGTCTTCTGCTAATAATTCTGCTAATAATTGCGCATGTTTTGAAAGCTCGGCTTGGTGCCGTGGGTCAGCGGCAGAGCTTTTATTGCTGACCCTGGCACAGCGAGGTTGTTCACCTGGGCTGCCCCACGCCACTGCCTGGGGCACGGTTGCGGGCTGGTGGCGCACGCAGAAGAGGCTGTCCCGTTGCAAAGAGCTTTATGTGCAGCCGTGCTGGAGGCAGCAGCAGGAAGAGCTGGGCTGCGGGGGGTGAGATCTCCTGCCCCCCAACGCGGGCACGGCTGGGCTCTCCTGTCCTGCTGCTTTCCCCAGATGGCGGGTGAGAAACGTCTCTTTCCTGGTGGGCGCTGGGAAAGGACGAGCATTTGGGGGATGGCGGGGTGATCTGGCGCTTGCTGTTGGGTGCTGGGGAGGGGGCTGAGGACAGCGCCATTTCCATCCCAGTCCCAGTGCCTGCAGCCACTGGGGCTCATGGGGGTCAAGGAGGGGACCGTCTCCCGGGGGATATGGAGCATGTCCCCTGCAGATGAAGGGCCCAGCTTGGTCTTGGTGGGTGCTGCCAGGCTCTCTGGTGTGGTGCACTGCTCCCGCAGTGGGATGGGAGCGGGTGCTGGGGTGGGGAAGAGCCCCCGGCCCCCTTGAAGCTTGGCTTGGCACCATGGCGTTGGGCAGTCCTGCTAGCATTGACCCTGTGGCTGGGATTTGGCACTTCCCGCAGCCCCTGGGATGTCCTTCCAGCACAGCCCGGCTCTGGGAGCCTGGAGACTGCAGCGGGGTGGGGACCGGGCTGGTGGCCGCTCCAGCCCCCACCTCTGCAGCCCCTGGGAAGAGGGTTAGCAGGAGGGGAGGGAATGAGCCAGAAAGCATGTAAGGGCTGGGGAGGGCTGGCAGGAGCTGTGCGGGTGCAGGAGGAGGCTCTTTGCTCTGCTCTAGTCTGTGCCAGCACAGGGGTCTCGCTGGGGGAGATGCTCCCCGCAGCCCTGCGGCCCCCCCCAGTGT